GGGGGGAGGGGGGAGTGTCAGCCATACCATTTCTACAATTTTTTGAATCTCCACTACCCAAGAATGCTTGCAGTCAATTATGGTTGATTTTCATTTCTTAGTTCCAGAGAAACAGTTGCTTAAATCAGTATAGCCCAATTGCCCCTTTTTGGCCCCACCCCTCAGGCCCCTAGGGGTCAGACTCATGGTTTATACAAAATTGGTTCCCCTTCACCAAAGGATGCTTCAGGCTAAATACGGAACAAACCCTTTCATTCCTACAGAAGTAGAAGGCATTTAAAGAATGTGCTATGTTTTCATTATTCAGCCCCGCCCCTCAGGCCCCGCAGGCCCCTCAGGAGCCAGACCCACGGTTTATACAAAATTGGTTTCCCTTTACCCAAGGATGCTTCAGACCAAAAATGTTTCCATGGTAACATTCACATTGTATGACTAGGTAGACATGTTTCCATGGTAACATACACATTATATGGCTAGGTTGACATGTTCCCATGGTAACATACACATTGTATGTCTAGGTAGACATGTACCCATGGTAACATACACATTGTATGACTAGGTAAAAAAAATTCCATGGTAACATACACATTGTATGACTAGGTAGACATGTTCCCATGGTAACATACACATTATATGACTAGGTAGACATGTTCCCATGGTAACATACACATTGTATGACTAGGGAAAAAAAATTCCATGGTAACATACACATTGTATGACTAGGTATACATGTTCCCATGGTAACATACACATTATATGGCTAGGTTGACATGTTCCCATGGTAACATACACATTGTATGTCTAGGTATACATGTTCCCATGGTAACATACACATTATATGGCTAGGTTGACATGTTCCCATTGTAACATACACATTGTATGTCTAGGTAGACATGTACCCATGGTAACATACACATTATATGACTAGGTAGACATGTACCCATGGTAACATACACATTATATGACTAGGTAGACATGTACCCATGGTAACATACACATTGTATGACTAGGGAAAAAAAATTCCATGGTAACATACACATTGTATGTCTAGGTATACATGTTCCCATGGTAACATACACATTATATGACTAGGTAGACATGTACCCATGGTAACATACACATTATATGACTAGGTAGACATGTACCCATGGTAACATACACATTATATGACTAGGTAGACATGTTTCCATGGTAACATACACATTATATGACTAGGTAGACATGTACCCATGGTAACATACACATTGTATGACTAGGGAAAAAAAATTCCATGGTAACATACACATTGTATGCCTAGGTAGACATGTACCCATGGTAACATACACATTGTATGACTAGGTAAACATGTTCCCATGGTAACAAACATATTGTATGACTGTAGACATGTTCCCATTGTAACATACACATTCTGATAAGGTAGACATGTTCCCATGGTAACATACACATTGTATGACTAGGTAGACATGTTCCCATGGTAACATACACATTGTATGACTAGGGAAAAAAAATTCCATGGTAACATACACATTGTATGCCTAGGTAGACATGTTCCCATGGTAACATACACATTGTATGACTAGGGAAAAAAAATTCCATGGTAACATACACATTGTATGTCTAGGTAGACATGTACCCATGGTAACATACACATTATATGACTAGGTAGACATGTACCCATGGTAACATACACATTATATGACTAGGTAGACATGTACCCATGGTAACATACACATTATATGACTAGGTAGACATGTTCCCATGGTAACATACACATTGTATGTCTAGGTAGACATGTACCCATGGTAACATACACATTGTATGACTAGGTAGACATGTACCCATGGTAACATACACATTGTATGACTAGGTAGACATGTTCCCATGGTAACATACACATTATGACTAAGTAGACATGTTCCCATTGTAACAGACACATTATGATTAGGTAGACATGTTCCCATGGTAACATACACATTATGACTAAGTAGACATGTACCCATGGTAACAGACACATTATGATTAGGTAGACATGTTCCCATGGTAACATACACATTATATGACTAGGTATACATGGTAAGAAATACTTACACTGTATAACTCTGTAGACAGGTGTAAGCTGTATTAACATAGTATCCACATCTCCAAATTTTTGCGCCCCTGACCTGTAAAAGTATGTCAAAATACGTCAAATACGACCTTTTTCTAGATTAACAAAATCAGAAAACAGAATTGGAGAGATTTATAGAATTATGTTATCTCTTATATGTGGTACATTCCTAAAATTATGCAGAATGATTACAAACAATAATTTATATGAAGGTCTGAGTATTACAGATTTAAAACCTTTATCATAAAACTAAGTGTCATCAATACAGTTTACAAATCACAAGTTTGTACAATGTATGGAAACTACTTAAAACTGTAACAAATCTCACAAGTTTGTACAATGTATGGGAACTACTTAAAACTGTAACAAATCTTACAAGTTTGTACAATGTATGGGAACTACTTAAAACTGTAACAAATCTCACAAGTTTGTACAATGTATGGGAACTACTTAAAACTGTAACAAATCTCACAAGTTTGTACAATGTATGGGAACTACTTAAAACTGTAACAAATCTCACAAGTTTGTACAATGTATGGGAACTACTTAAAACTGTAACAAATCTCACAAGTTTGTACAATGTATGGGAACTACTTAAAACTGTAACAAATCTCACAAGTTTGTACAATGTATGGGAACTACTTAAAACTGTAACAAATCTCACAAGTTTGTACAATGTATGGGAACTACTTAAAACTGTAACAAATCTCACAAGTTTGTACAATGTATGGGAACTACTTAAAACTGTAACAAATCTCACAAGTTTGTACAATGTATGGGAACTACTTAAAACTGTAACAAATCTCACAAGTTTGTACAATGTATGGGAACTACTTAAAACTGTAACAAATCTCACAAGTTTGTACAATGTATGGGAACTACTTAAAACTGTAACAAATCTCACAAGTTTGTACAATGTATGGGAACTACTTAAAACTGTAACAAATCTCACAAGTTTGTACAATGTACGGGAACTACTTAAAACTGTAACAAATCTCACAAGTTTGTACAATGTATGGAAACTACATAAAACTGTAACAAATATCACAAGTTTGTACAATGTACGGGAACTACATAAAACTGTAACAAATCTCACAAGTTTGTACAATGTACGAGAACTACTTAAAACTGTGACAAATCTCACAAGTTTGTACAATGTAAGGGAACTACTTAAAACTGTAACAAATATCACAAGTTTGTACAATGTACGGGAACTACATAAAACTGTAACAAATCTCACAAGTTTGTACAATGTACGGGAACTACTTAAAACTGTAACAAATCTCACAAATTTATTCAATGATATCACCTTATTCTATTTAATTACTTCCATTAATTACCTTCCCTCATGTTGTGTTTTCTAGTTATCTCCCTTTGTGATTAGTGACCTTTTTATATACACATAGAGTGCTTTTCTCAATTGTTGAAATGTGGGTGACAACAAGAGGCTGAATGGGCCTGCATCGTTGACCTGGTATTAATCTTACACTTGTAAAAATGTATGACTATTAGTCATTAAAAGGATCCTGTTAAAAGATTTAAAAACATTTGACCTATGTGACCTTGAAAGTGAAAAAGGATATTACATTAAACAAATTGTATAGCCCTTCATCTCAGCATGCAACTTGCAAAACATCACCACCCTATACCTTTTGTTTATTGAGATAAGGTCATTTAAATGTTTATACATATTTGACCAAAGTAAGTCCAGTCATTCAAATAAAAAAGATTGATAGCCCTTCATCCCAGCATGTTACTGGCCAAATATCAACATTCCGGGCCTCCTGGTTATTCAGAAGAAGTTGTTTAAAAATTTTAACATATTTGACCCTTGTGATCTTGGTGATTGCTCAAGGTCATTCATTTTGACAAACTTGTTAGCTCTTCATCTAAGCATTATAATGGTCAAATATCAAAATTCTGGGCCTCACGGTTATTCAGAAGAGGTTGTTTAAAGATTTTGAACATATTTGACCCATGTGACCTTGGTTATACGTCAAGGTCATTCATTTACACAAAGTTGGTAGCCCTTCCTCCTAGCATGCTTCTGGCCAAATATCAACATCCTGGGCTTTTTTGTTCATTCAAAAAAAGTTTAAAGATTTTAGAAAATATTTGATCTCTCTAACCTTGAATAAATGTCAAAGCTATTTTTTTTAAGAAACATGGTAGCCCTTCCCCCTAGTATGCTATTGGCCAAAAATCAACATCCTGGGCCTTATGGTTATTCAGAAGAGGTTGCTTAAAGATGTTTAACATATTTGATCCCTGTGACCTTGAATACAGGTCAAGGTCATTCATTTGAACAAACTTAGTAGCCCTTCGTCGGAGCATACTACTAACCAAATATCAATATCCTGGTCCTTTTGGTTATTTAGAAGTTGATTAAAGGTTGTTTTAGACAATTGATCTTGAACAAACTTTGTAACCCTTCATCAAAGCATGCTACTGACCAAACATCAACATCCTAGTCCTTTTGGTTATTAAGAAGAAGCTGTTTTAAGGTTTTTTAAGACAACTGACCCCCTGTGACCTTGAATATGATTGAAGGTCATTCAAACAAACTCGGTAGCCCTTCATCCCAGCATGCTATTGGTCAAATATCATCATCCTGGGCATTTTATAAGAAGTTGGTCAAAGTAAAACATTGATGCCCGACAACGGACAACGGACAATGGACAATGGACGACAGACTGACGGGCTAGGTGAGGTAAATATAGATATAGGCTATATATAGTACTTTTGAAAAGTTACACCTTTAGCTTTAAGCCAAACAAGCCATATTATGCAAGTCTCACCTCCATGGTTGATCCTCTGCAATACAGTACACATTACGACCTTCAAATGAGACCAAGGTCATTGTTGGTCCTTGGTATGACATCACATGATGAGAAAATCTAAAAACAGATTTTATCATATAAAGGAATATGCTAGGATTGGGACTTCACGTGCTTTATAAAAACATTCTAAAATTTCATTTATTTTTTTAAATTGCCTTCAAATTATTTACTTCACTCTCCATTATATAGAAGATTGACCCGGATACCTTACCTGTTTTGTGAGAGTCCATGTTCTGCGCTGTCATACAATAATGCCCAACTCTGACACTTTGATAGGCGAGCCTGTAAAATGACAAACACACTTCAATGACACCTTTTACCTGATATGAAATTTAACGAACGTTCCCAAAGTTTAATTTAAGAACTGTGGATAGATAACAATATGCTGGCTCTGTGTCTACTTCAATAGTGACAGCTCTAATGGCTAAAGTTTGTACTGGCTTAATGACGGCCTCACAGTGGCGTTAGAGTGATGTCAAAAGTCCATGAAAACATTCAGATATTACACTCTCAATCAACACATATGACTCCAACGCAGCCTTATAAAGTTTGTTCCTACAATAAACAGATTTGCTTCTCTACGTGACTTTTTAAAGGAGTGTACAGACTTGGAGAGCTTAGGGGCTACCACAAATAGGTGCTATCATAATGCTCACAGCTGATGGCATGAGTTCGGGTAATAATTAACAATATAGGATAGAAGCTAGATTAAGGTGTTTACTTATAGGTTAAAAGCTAAACTTGAGTGGATATGTACAAGTTTGGAGCTAGATTTGGGTGGTTATTAACAAGTTTGAAGCTGAGGCTAGGGTGGATACCTTGAAGTATGAAGCTAGATTTAGGTGGATACCTACAAGCGTAAAACTAGACTTGGGTGTATACTTACAAGTTTGGAGAGAGACTTGGGATGATACTTCTCAATTTGAAGTCAGGCTAGGGTGTATACTTACAAGTGTAAAGATAGACTTGGGATGATACTTCTAAATGTGAAGCCAGGCTAGGGTGTATACTTACAAGTTTGAAGATAGACTTGGGATGATACTTCTAAATATGAAGCCAGGCTAGGGTGTATACTTACAAGTGTAAAGATAGACTTGGGATGATACTTCTAAATGTGAAGCCAGGCTAGGTAAGGTGTATACTTAAAGTTTGGAGATAGACTTGGGATGATACTTCTAAATGTGAAGCCAGGCTAGGGTGTATATACTTACAAGTTTGGAGATAGACTTGGGATGATACTTCTAAATATGAAGCCAGGCTAGGGTGTATACTTACAAGTGTAAAGATAGACTTGGGATGATACTTCTAAATGTGAAGCCAGGCTAGGTAAGGTGTATACTTA